GGGGGGGGCGGTATATGATTAGCAGGGACAGTGATATGCAGTGTTCTGCCCCTGCCCCTCACTCCCAAGCCACAGCCCCCCTAGCCTTACTGCTGCCCCTCACTCCTGACACACCACACCTTGCATCCTGCCAGGGCATGCGGGGACCTGCTTCCCCAGGCTCCAAACCGTGCCCCCACACACACACACCCACACCTTCACAAATTTTGCTGGTACACACACCCCACTCCATACAAAGTACCTGCATAATTTTGCATTTCTCTGTGCATAATTTTGAAGTTTTTAGCTGTGCGATTAAAATAGCAATTAATTGCTACTAATTTTTTTTAATCACACAACTAATCACAATCAAATTTTTAAAGAGTTTGACAGCCCTATTAAAAAACAAAACATTTGCTTTCTTTACTCATCCCCTATATGGGAACCTAGACTCAATCCTTTTAAATATGTTTATTGTTGTATTTAAAACGAATTGTCTTATAATTTGCATGCTGAATACACAGGTTATTTCTCTATAATTTATACTATTCAAAATTCAGGAGATACAGTTTTAACCTTCTTCAGAAGCAATTCACTGGAGTTCCTGACAGTGGAAGCCTTCTTAGATCTCTGGTCTTTCCTGTTCCTGACCTACCCATTTCTATCTTTTTGTAACACATTTGACTTTGAAAAGGGAATCTTCTCTGATACTGGAAGATACTTTGAGAGATGTATAAATATTTCTACTATATTTTCCTTCAGAACTTAAGGCACCAGAACCAAAGCTAATAAACAGAAACATCACCCATAATCAAGAGGGCTTAGCTGAAGGTAAATATCCTTCAAACTAGGACTAAGTCATACATTGCTAGAAGACCACTTTAGATTAGACATAAGGAAAAACTTCTTTACAACTCGAGTGTCCGGAGTCTGGAATAGACTCCACCCAGAGAAGTACAACCACCTACTCCTGATGTCTTCAAAAAACACCTGGACATTCAGCTTGCTGAGGTCATCTGACCCCAGCCGTCTTTCCTGCCCAAGCACAGAGGGGCTGGACCTGATGATCTTGTTAGGAGCTGGAAGGGCCCTCTCATCTATGAATCCAGTAATTTGTGGGAGGGGAGGGAAGAGAAGCTCATTTCCAGTTCATGGAGCCTCCCATCTATGCTCATTAAGGAAAATATGGAGAGAATCCATTTCCCCACATCCCTCCTAGAATACAGAGTTATTGCACTGTTCTTGATAACTACTAATACGGATAAGGGGAAAAAAAGGATTTTCCTCAAGAGCTATAGTGAAGGGGCACAAAATTCTCCTTGGCTCTCTTGTTTTTGTTACTCAAAGATAAAGAGTGAAAGTGAGGAAGTCAGTTCTCGGACTTTCTATAGTACGGTCGATGTAGGTTTCCATCACTGATGCTGCCTAAACAGCAATTACAACAGTTCTCCTTCACATGGAAGACAGTAGGATAAGAAAAGAGAGTTGCAAGCCCCTTACATGCAAAGGGTTGCTTTGCAGTGATGCCTAATAGAGGGCAGATGGTAACTGCATCCAAAAGGACAGTCAGCTTTAACTTCCCTATAAGGCACTGCTGCTATCCAGCAGAATTTCTCCCAAGTTATACATCAAAATGTTATGGATGAACATGCCATGCTCCTCTATGCTGCTACAGGGACCTATAGCATGTTGGATTATGCCCATATCACATTTTGGGATATCCAGGAGAACCTGGAGTTGGTCTAGGGATCAAACATCAAATTGGCTGTGATCATTCTGCCACTATCCCCTAATCCAACTCTTTTTTCTTAGGCATCACTGTATTCAAACCATCACCAGACCACTTAAGGACAGAGCAGCTCTCCATGCTGCGAAGCTATTATTCAGAAATACGCAGACTGTACAGACTTATTTTATATGATGCCAGCAGAGGCAGCTTTGCAAGCCACCAGTATATTACCAAGCAACTTTAGCAATAGTTTTTCCAGCAGCAGCTAAGCTACCTCCCACCCACCATCATACCAATAGGTGAATGAGAATGAAGACAGTGCTGTTTCTGGAAGGACTTTTGATGGAACAGCTTCACTCTGGGCAGCACCATTTCTGGGCTACTGAAACAGGCATCAACTGCTTGCAAAGGACCGTGCTGTAGACCTAGGATGACAAAAGGCACTTATGTGGAGATCTACAGAGATCTTAGAGCTGTAGTAGCACACCAATACAAAGGCTCTTCTATCCATTTAGAAGCCTGTGGAAATCACTACCTGGAAGCTTCTCATACCAAATAACTACCGTTCAGTAGCTAACTGATTTGAAGCAAACAGATCAGCCACTGGGATGGAGGGATGTACTACTATTCAAGGAAGACCATGATCCTGTGCTGTAAAGCTTGCGAGTCCTGGGGTTATTTATAACTTTGCATGACTGGAGTTCCACATAAATACTGGGAAACTAGAGGATATTCTCATTTGCTCTCCACGCAAGGCACAAATTTATAAATAGAAAGGGGGATTCTGATGTGCTCCAAGCCCCACTTAACAACTGTGGTAGGTTTACCAAATTAATGCAAGCTGTTTGGAAAGAATTTGTGATGGCAGAGTGCTCTAAAACTCATGCCTCTTCCCTTTAACTAAAACCAAAAAAGGTAAATTTGTTCCCACAGCTACACTGTGAACTTTTGTGGTATGACAGTGTCCCCATTATCTAGGGAGATTCTGCTTATCTTCTACCACCACTGATGATGAAACTTCCGTATAACAGAATGGATATCCATATAATAGAAAACTGTAACTAACCACACTGACAGTAAAGTGTGCCTTTGGGAGAATGAAGGGTAGAAAGCAATTGCTAACAGAAAGGCTAGAAGCTGCCAGACAGTACCTGCTTTGAATTATAACTGAATGCTGTACTCTGCACAACATCTGAAAGCAAGTACAGGCATTTCAGGCCCCAGGCAGATATCAATTGCATGGCTGAACTCACATCTGATTAATTTTATCCTGGACCCCAAAAAATGATGCATCCTGCCATGCCAGACATGCATGGCAGGATGTGTAAGTCTTAGGATCTGGGGTAAAATGTCAGATCCATATTGCACAGCTGTGTACATGGAGATCCAGACACTGAACAGGTCCCTCACAGCACCCTTTCATTTTGTTGGCATCAAGGGAGCAGGTCTACACTATACAAGCTTTCAGCTTGCTGACACTCAGGGAGCCCATCCACCATTGTGCAGCCTGATGCTAAACATGCCACAAATTCAAATTCAAGCAGGATGCAAATCAGCCACAAGGATGTTCCACACTAAGTATGGAATAGCTTTGTAGCTAGTTTGCCATTTTATCATGGCTGAACACGTGACATATGATTTATCGTGCGATTAATGTGTTGATTGTGCAATGTCCATCAAGGCCCTCATACAACTGGGAGGTGAATAGCAAGAAGCTTTCAGGGCATTTCGGACAGCTACTAAGGCACATATTTCTAAATGAGACCTGGCAGAAATATAGCATAAGGAATTTCTTGCAATCCTGTTTAAGGAAAAACTATTGCTTGGGGGTTTTTTGTTTGTTTTTTAAAAAATGTAGTGTTTACTTTGTGCTATACATATATCATACATGAAAAAGGCCATGAAAAGGTACATGTAGTGTAGGGCATCAGCAGTAGTTTTGTGATTTGCCAGGCCATTAAAAAAAAAAAAAAAAAGGTGTCTTTTCATTAGTGTTCTTTCTTACTTTAGGGGTGTACCTGGTAGCTGTGTTGGTCTGAGACAAAAAGACATAGAAAAAACTAGAACTCTTGGTTCCAAAATGATACCTTTTATTAGATCAACTGGAAAATGGCAAGAAAAGGAAAAAGGACAATTTTCTTGCCATTTTCCAGTTGGTCTAATTTTTAAAAGGTATCATTTTGGAACCAAGAATTCTAGTTTTTTCTATGTCTTTCTTACTTTATGAATTTTTAAAGTTGGAATCTGTACTTTCATGGTACTGGATCCTTTCAGATTTTAGATCATAAGATGTTTTGATTAGAGATGACCATATTTAAATAGAACCATTCTTTAATTTTTCCAAAGATGCAAATAATGTAACATTGTACAAACACCATATGAGTGAAGGGGTTTGAAATCTATAACAAGGAAGTTATCAGTTCATGTAGCCACTCACTGCTCTGGCTTTTCCATTCAGGACTCCAAGGCTGAAATGGCATAGCAATAACCTATGTTTGAACAGAAAGGGAACAAAGTACTCCGCTCCCAGAAGCTGCCGCTTTCACTCTCACGTGGGAACAACCCATGGATGGGGGTTCTTGTGGTTCTCCGAGCAAATTGTTTAGGATCTGTAGGACGGAAGAGTCAGGCTGATGTGACCACCACCACTTCCTTTGGTGCATGATAGTAAAGGGGAAGTGCAAGTTTTCATGGAGCATGCTTTGCATTTGTGTTGATCTGTTCACAAGCCCCCGTCGACTGGCTCTGCAACTCCCCATTTCAGTCTCTCGGGTCAGGAAAAGGCCTCTCTCTCAGACATCTGGCTTTGGAGAGGCCTTCCCTGCTCTCATTCTTCAACAACTCCCCTATTTCCTAACACACACAGTCTTGTATCTCACACTTCTACAATGTCCAACATTTCTTCTTTTCTTTACACATCATGACATGAGGCAGCTGATAAAGGCAATGGCAAGTATTTCAGGTTCAGCCTCTGTAAGGTGAGAAAAAGTTACAACCAGTGCTCAGTTGTCTTTGTTCAGTTCCCCCCTCCCTCCTCCCAAAAAACAAAAGTTTTCACCCTCACCCAATTCTGAGATGCCATCTTCAGGGTTCATGCCCAGTCTTAGAAAAATTCTGGAGATGGCAAGTCACTTTTTACTTTTCCTCCCCTATGACTTCAATACCCACCCCCCCACCATAGGAGAAACTCTCCTAATTGACAGGAGACTGTATTCAAAACATGTAGGTCTGTGACTGCACAGAAAATGAGAGGTTATTACATTTGCACACTGTTAAGAACCTTAAATCTCCACATCTCTGAGAAGAGTTATTCTGGGGAGTTGGCAGGTGGATTAGATGGTGTTTGCACTGAGGCAGACGATTCTGACACTAAGGGCATACCCCCAATACAGACAGCCAAAAAGCAAAGGGTAAGGAAAACCCAGCCACAATTGCTGCTGTGATTTACCAGTATGGACCTTTCTAACACACTGTGTCAATGGAGGGCATGGCTACCTCCCTACTCAGGAACAAGGCAGGAGGCAGTCTTGTCTTGTAACACTAGGGCACAGACGGAACAGTTTCTATGCCCCTTTTATATCCCCAGCAAGCATGATCAAAATCCTGTATCATGCACATGCAATATTGCAGTGAATTACCATCAGTACGCTGGGCTCCCCGTATTAGTACATTACTACTGCTGGGTAGCCCCCCTCTTTCCTAAGTGATATTTGCTTACTGATAGCAAGTCATCTTGTTCTGAGAAATCCCTTTGTTAAAGTTCTGTGCCGAGATAAATCCCAATGAACCAAAATCATTTCTTGCTCAGTCAAAACACAATGCACACAGTGCACTATGTCCTCGCAATGGAACTGTGGATTACCCTACCATCAACAAATATTTGTGTGATAATGCTTTCTTCTCTGAATTGGCAAGATGCCTCGTTCGAGTGTGTAGCACAGACAGAGGAACACGGTGGCAAGCTGACTCTGGCAGAGCAGCCTACTGCTTTCTAGTGACAATGGCACCATCCCTATTTGGAGTGACTGGAGGAGGGAAAAGAGCAACTTAGGCTGCTACAGGCACCCAAGATGTCAGCCCTTAGCACCAGCAATAAGAATATCAGGTGTAGCCCATGGCATGCTATACCCAGTACTTAGAATAAAGGTTAACATAGCAGTGCTTACCACTCTCCTCCACAGCGGTGCTAGGAGACTGGGTTCTTCCACAGCTGAAAGGCTGATGGTTATGGAGGTGGAGCGCAGGTCCATTTCTGGAGGGTCTGCTAGCACGTCCAGTCCCAACTTCCAGATACCTCTTTACCCAGAGCTGCTGTTGGCCCTGGAGTCCTCTACTTTGCTTCATTAGCAACATCGTAAACACTTGTGTTCCATCCCAAAATCCTCAGCTCCTTGCCATCCAGAGACGTGCCTCAAACACTGCTGGAGACTTTTTGTCCTCTGCCCCCTCAAAAGCCTTTGCATACCCTCAGTTTCAAAACACTGTGCATGGCATCCAATTATGATCCCATGTAAGCATCTTTTGACAGCCTCAAAAATACCCATGTTGCAAGATTAAAACTCCAGGACTTCCTGAAACTTCACCTCATCCTACAGGGTGAGAAAATCCAAAACCTCTGAACACATGCTAAGGAAACGCGCAAGGCTAGAATAAAACATTAGTGTGCAACTCCAGAAGCAGGCAAGTGCAAATGTACAAAAGCACAAAGTATCAAACCTGGCTGCACACGAGTCATTTAAAGGAGGAAAAAACAAGTCACTTCCAATCAGTATAACCTGTGTGAATTAGAGGATACAGAAGTAAGAGAGAAAAAACTAGTCAGGGTGGTGTGCAAAGTAATACGGGAAGACAGCCAAAAAACCATCAACACCGCACACACAGGAAAGATCCAGGCACCTGAATATCCAGCAGCTTGCTACAAGATGAAAATACTGCTGCTTGGAATGGGAGGACAGACTATGCTGTACGTCTCTAGTTACTACTCTGTAAGAAATCACATCACATGGACACAGTACACAGCAACTCAGGCTAATATCAGGTAGCTACGCCCTGTGCAAACAAGTCCTTAATCTTGTAATATTCCAAGCAATTTAGAAACATGCCAAATAACTGTGTACGGCTTTGCTACAGTCCTTGGTATCATTTTTATTCTGGGGAGAAGACAGACAATGCAGTTAACCCACTGCATTAGTCCCCCTTGCTTTCTCCGGTGATACTTTAGACATGAGGTTATAAATGCCTTTTACTGTCTAATCAGCCAGAATTTGAAACTAAGTATTCTATAAACTAGTGATATTTCCAAATCAGTGCCTATGGTGGAGTCTGAAGTCTTGCATACTACCAGTCTATGGTACAAAACCTGCTGATAGTTTACATGGATGCCACTTCAAGTGCATCCGCAAGAAGTCAAAACTTGATTGTGTTTTATAGCATTTGCTAGCATCCAGGCTATTCCTCTGCAGCTAAGCACTGCAGTTTTGCAGCACTTGGCTTTCAAGTTATTCTGCATTCCTGTCATTCTGTGGCCTGTATTTGCTAATGATAATTATTAGAACTGTTTAAGATAGTCTTGAATTGAAGGAGAGGAATCAATCAAATGATCACAGCCAGTTTTTACCATGTCCACCTTCTATGAGGGCTTTAAACAGTCATAACAGACACTGATTTTAGCCAGTGAGAAACAAAACAAAGACATTTCTCATTACAGTAAAACCCTCAAGGAAAATTAACACTGGACAATTAAACAGTTATTGTCCGTTTTATTTACTATTTTCAGTTAAAATGACCCCTCAGGAAATGTTAAAAAGGTGCTACCAAAGTCCTTAGTGGGTTCTTTTGGGTTCTCATTTCCACATGTGGTGTTATACTAAAAAAAAAAAAATTCAAAAAAAATCTTTAATGTGCTCCTTCAAGCAAGAAATATGCACTCTCATATACAGTAGCACAAGAATGATGTAACCATGACAGGTCAGAAATCCTTGCCTCTCGCATTCTAATAAAGGCAGAATAATGCAACTATGCTAAGCAGTCTAACCACAATTTACTAGATGGCAACATTTCAACATTAGTAGGCCTGACCTGCGACTTGCGCCATTTTCTGTTTAAAGCAATAAACAGGATACAAAAAGCTACTATGGGTTTGGTAAATTTGATTCTATAGTCAATTTGGTGTAAAAACAAATGCAATGAAGAGTAGGATTTTTTTCTTCTAAATGCTCAAACCTTACTGTATCTTATTAATCTGATATTCCAATTTCAGAGTTAAGATCAAATAGCTCTAAAGGAACTTATATTTCCTTATTTAACGCAAAATATAAGTTCCTTTCTTGGCTTCGAAACACCACACACACACACACACACACACACACACTAAGTCAATAATTTTAGAAACTTTCATAGTCAAAAGTCATTTATAGTCAGGAAGGAGGAGCTGATAAAACAGCAGGATTTTTTTTTAAATCAAAATTTCAAACAAAGTCATCCAAAAAACAAAAACAAATTTGAAAAAAATCCAATGCATTCTATTCACAAAGCAATAAGATAGATATATGGTATGTGACAATGAAATACATCTAGCTTAGCATAATTTTCAGCTTCTTTAACCAGACACAGTTTTTTTTTTATTTTAGCATTGTGCAATTACATGTTAACTACAGGTTTTCATTGACAGTTATCAAATGTGAACTGTTAAATCAAAGTGTGGTATAATAATTCTTTTATTTTCTGCTGATACTTGATTTTTCCGAAAAGTGCATGGACTGGGCTATGAACTTGATGGCAATTTTGTGTATGTGTGTACCTCTACTTTCTAGGCTCTCACAAATTAATCCCCAGCAAATACCACTTTTCACTTCGACTGCAAGATGCAAATGGCTCATGTATTGCTGCAGTGGAAAATGAACCAAAGTTTACCATAAACAGATCAATGTGTGGCACTTCTACTTAAAGGAAGAATTTGCGGTCCTCCCCAATTTATTTCTGCTACAGGGAATAAGGTATATATATTTTTATTTGGACTCAAGATAATTTTCATTTAAAAAAACTTGGGCAGTTTCTAAAAAACAACCACCTGAATCATTCCCATTTAATGAAGTTAACTATCAGTTGCACTTGTAAAACTGTATCATCACAAATACTGCTATTAAATAACATTACAGCAAAATATGATTAAATGACAGGCAGGAGGAAGCTCAAGGAAAAGCAATAGGGCAGTTGCACAGTGATATTTCATCAATTCTATTATGAGAGCAGTAACTAAAATTAAATGTTCAAGTAGAAGTACACAATTGCCAACCAGATCCAAGAAGCACTACATCTGTTACCATAGAGTCTGTCAAACGTAACCACATTAATACGTACTCTTCACTTCTCACTATGAAAAAACTGCTTGCTTAACCTAACTTTGCTAAATTGTCACAAAAGCATACCGATGCTGGCACAAAATCTATTTGCTCACCTTTTCCCACAATAAATAGAAACTGCCATATGCAAAAGGATAACTAAGATTTCCCTCACAAGATGGCTAGCACTATCCATGGCTAACTTTAACCATAAAATTAAAAAAGGCATTTTTGAGCTTAAAAAACTCCACGTGTGCAGGATAATTTAAGTCCCCTTAAGTCATGTGGTCAAAAAGGAGAAGTACAGGTAGCACCTGTGCTGCACAAAAATATTTACCAGACACGCTATCCAGGAAGTGAGGCTAATTCCTTGTACCTTTAAAGTTTTGGACGAATTTTTGATTAGCCAAAACAGACCATGGAATCACAGAAGAGTAGGGCTGGCAGGGACCTCAAGAGGTCATCTAGCCCAAGCGCCTGCGCACAGAAACCGTCCCTATCCAAACCATCCCATACAAGCAAGTGTCTGTGCCTTTGGTATAGTTTTAGGAACATTCCCCCAAAACATCAAGAATGTCCTAACTTGAACAGCTCTACTTCTTCCCTTTGACCTGTGGCGTGTCCCACTGCTGCGGGAGCTGTTCAAACAGACCAGATACAAAAAAGGAAAACGCTTTTCTTTTCTTTCCATTATGGGAAAAGCTGGGGGAGGGGGGACACGACACATACTGATTCCTGCGATAATGCTGGTGTATTGCCATCATAGTTGTGGGAGGTCATGGAAGAAAGCTGAAGTAAAGCAAACTCCTGCAACAGCTATCCAGCAACTTCCCTGCTGGTGCAGCATCCTCATTACCCTTGCTTTTAACTTGTGCCATTTTATAGGGCGTTTCTGGCACCTCGGATTTTCCCTCTTAGTTGTAGGGGGGTGGGAGGGCTGAAGAGAGGATGGGGGGAGGAAAAGGATGTCCCTTGGGTAGAAGTGCCTATGAACACCACGGACAGGACTCCCAGCCCTACCTACCTAGGACACCTTCCAAGGTTTTCATTGCCATATTAACAATAACCTGTATTCGGTGTAGCCCTTGCACCCACGTACTGCCAAGGTACAGCGTGGGAGTCAGTTTACAGCAACTTTCAAGACAGCGACACAGGTTCTCTCAGTCCTGACTTTGTTGGTCCTTATTCATAATGCCACCTCAATGGTTTCACCCGTGATGCCCTTAAATAAGGTACAACCCTGAAGCAAAGACATCCTGACAGGCAGACAAGCAGAGCTGGTCACGGCATAAAGCCGGCTAGCATCGGGACCGAACATATCGTGATGTCCCATGGGGCATCCACATCTTGAATGCCATACTCAGCACTGGTCTCCACACCTGGAGAAGGACACAGAAAAGCTAGAGACGGTCCAGAAAAGGGCAGCGAGCACAATTCGTGGGAGAAAAACACTTCCCTATGAGGAGATCCTGACAAGGCGACGAAAGGAAGATGCTTGCAGGGGGAGGGAGACATAAGGTTCCCCACCCTTGGGCGGCGTACAGGGGGTGAGGCGAGGAGGCCTCCCCCGCCACTGCCGCCCTTACCTTGCCGTCCTCGCACTTGCGGAGCTGCCCGTCCTTGCCCTGCAGCTGCCCGCCCAGGCGCCCGCACTCCGCCTCCTTCTGTTCCAGCTGCTGCTTGTGCGACTCCAGCGCGCCCAGCAGCTCGGCGTTGCGTTGCTCCAGCCGCCCGCGGGCTGCCTCGCCCCGCTGCGCCTGCCCCTGCAGCGCCGCCACCTCCTCCAGCAGCGCGGCCTGGCGGGACGACGCACTCCAAGCGTTGAAAGCCAGCAGCGCCACCAGCCCCAGCAGCGCCGCGAACACGAGGGAGGGCAGGCGGCCGCCCCGGCGGTTGGCCCCGAAGCCCACCATGGGGGCGGCCGGGGGGCGGCGGAG